ACATTATCTTTAAGCTAATTTCAATATTTTTTCAGTTTTGTGCGGACACCATGCATAAGCTTTTGGTCAACAGTTTTCATAAAATTTTGAGATGTTATACCCCAAATCAACAAATTGTTGTTTGTTGCAATTTTTCCCTTTTAATGCAGCTTACTTTCATATATTTCCGGAATATTTTAATGGGACAAAGTTGCGACACGTTTACTGGATTCGTATTTTTTAGGAAAAAAATTACATTTTACGATTTGATGATACGGCTGACGATTTTCCTTGGAAATTTATAATTTTTAGCAAAGGAATTAAAACATTGCAATTAATCAACCAATTGCCCAAAATGAACTTTCTACTTCTACTTGCAAATACATTTTCTTTGTTAAAAGTTAAGTTTATCAAAACTACAGTTTATTATTTGAGAAGGAAATAAATTTTCTTTAAAACCAAAAAAAGAACTATCAAATATAATTTAGTACTTCTTGAAACATTTCAAAAAGCCCATGGGATTGTTAAAATGTTTTAAAATTATCATTTCGGACAGTTTTTGTAAAAGAATTTGAAGGTTATAACCATCATATTAGGGCTCCAAGAAAAGTATTCAAAATTTCAATGTTTTTTGTGCAGACAATGTTTTGAGATAGCAGACAGACTCAGCATTATGCTAAGAAAGTGTGGCTATTGAGAAAAAAATTCACCCCAGGAAGTTACAGAGTCAAATTACAGCCTTTGGTAGAAGCACATCGAATTGTTTTTCCATCACTCCATATAAAATTGGGGTTAATAAAAACTTTTGTCAAGAGTATGAACCATACTGGCAGTGGATTTCAGAAAAATTTCCACATATACGTGAAGCAAAGTTGACAGCAGGTATCTATTTAAGACCGTAAATCCGAGAAGTAATGAAAGATAAGGAGTTTACATCGTTATTAGCAACAGTTTAACTGGAAGTCAGAAATGCTTTCAATAATACTGTCAACTTTTTCATAAGTAACTTTAAATTAGAAAGTCTTGTTAAGAACACGGCAGTCAAAGTTTGACCTTTGAGTTTCCGCAAAATTGTTAAGTTGCACTTTTTGAACTCACTCACATTGGCTATTTTTGTGCAAATCTTGGTGTATGCAGTGAAGAGAAGTGTGAAATGTTCCATCAGAAAATTTGTCCAATTATACAAAAGAGTCGATATAAAGATCAATGAAATGTCAATATGATAGTCGACTGTTTCTTGTCATTGAAACGTTATAATCCTGGTGCTGCTCATGAACGAAATAATAATAGTTTTGTGACTTTTAATAGTTTTCTTCATAATTGAAAATTATTATCTATCGTATATTTTGTTCATAGTTTATTGATTTGTTCCGATATTATTAAACGTTAAACTTAGGGTTTGCAATCTAGGGATCCCGAAATCCCGGGATCCCGGCCTTTTTTATAATCCCGAAATCCCGGGATTATCTTATATCAATCCCGGGATTCCCTATATGATTGAGCAAAACAAAGGGGAAATTAAGAAAATATATAAAAATAAAACAATTTATGCGCATAGATGTAATAATTTTTATTTAGTACAATATCGCCGAAAGTAATTCTATTTTCAGTTATTCTGTTCTGTAGTTCTGCAAAATAAACTTTTTTAAACTGAAAAACCCGCGTTTCTTACAAAGTTTTCTTTTGAAATTAAAACTTAAATAAGCATGGCATATGTGGATTTTGCAATTAAAAGTAACTCAGCTGTTTGGAAATATTTTCTACGAGAAGAGAAAGGGCAAACAGCGATGTGTAAATTGTCAAACTAAAAGTAGATTTTAAAAATCTGTGGTGGTTCAACAAAAGGACTTCATATACACATGTTGTCGGTGCATAATGTGAAGGTCCAGCTCAATCTAATATTTCCGAAGAAAGCACATCAGATAAATTACCAAAAAAGAAACCTAAACCACTAACAGAATACTTTTTGATTTTTGAGAAAGAAGATAAAACACTTCACGTTACACTTGCTCGTCTAACGGCGTCTGACGGACTTTCATTTAATGTGATTTGTTCTTCAATAGATTTACGTGGCGCTCTAACTGCTATGGGATTCAGAAATTGGTGCACTTGTACACGACGCATCCCCTATGAAATATTAATAATCGTGATCAAAACTGTCCCAATTCTCACGGTCAATTAATTAATGTATATTTCGTTGTGTTAATTCCTATTTATTAGTCAAAGAATTTATATTTAATTCTATTCATCACTTTTGATCAATTGAGGTAATTACACTTTAATCAATTAAATTAATTAATTTTACTAGGTCAGTAAAATATCATTTTTGATAAAACGTGTTTTAAACTTAAGGGGGTGCGTCGTGTACAAGTCCGCCCAGAAATCTACTTGTCAGTACATACAATGTCAGTAAATACTACAATGTCTATCATGTCATATACAATCTACAATGTCATATACAATCTACATGTCATATACAATCTACAATGTCAGTAAATACAATTCGTAATCATGTAGTAGTACAGCAAAAAAGTAAGATTTCGTTTAGTTCAGCAAATTAAAGCACTTAAGAGTACAGAATTTATGGTAGGAGAGAAATTTTCTTTGTCTTTTGACAAATGGAAGCCACTTCGAAATCGTCGCTATATGAATATTAACGTTCATAGAAAAAATTCTCAGTTTTGGAGTTTAGGCTCAGTGCGAATAACAGGTTCAATGTCAGCAGAAAAGTGCATTGAACTATTAGAAAAAACTTAAAGACGATTGTCTTCATCTACACGGCGACATTGTAGCTATAATGACCGACGGAGCTAGTGTTATAAAAAAAGTTAGGAGGTTGCTGGCTGCAAATCAACAATTATGTTTTGCCCACGGCATACAACTTGCTGTAAATGATGTTCTTTATAATAAAAGAGAATTTGATGAAAATCAGTCAGAATTTGAAAATGAATTTTTTGACAGTGACTCATCCGAGAATGAGGATATTGAGAAAGATTTACTGGCTACAACCATGAAACTTTAAGATCTAAAATTGAACTGAATGAAGTTCATTATGGGCCAGTCATTAAAAAAGTACGCAAGTTGATAATAATATTTAGACGATCATCTACTAAGAACGACATCTTGCAAAAATATATTAAGGCTGAATTTGGAAAACAACTGTCTTTAATTATGGATTGCAAAACAAAGTGGAGCAACCTTCTGTTAATGCTTAAACAATTTTATAAAAAATTGTATACAAAAATCATTAATTTATATTTACACAGTGCAAGATAATGCTATAGCTCTGTCGCATGATGATTTGACAATATTATCAGACATTAATTACAACCTTAGGTCCTATTAAAGCAACGGCTGAAGCACTTTGTCGTCGAGATTCTAACCTATTAACAGCTGACATTGCTATTAATTTTATGCTTACAAAATTAAAAGATGCTGACAATGACAAAAGCAAGGAAATGCGTACAACTTTAATGGCTCGTATACATGAACGCTGAACTGATATGAGGGGACTTCTGCAATACCTGCATGAAGGTTAAAGCTCCATTAAAGTCGATGAAGAAATAATTACAGTGCATTCTTTATATAAATGTCGAAAACTGTTGGTAGAATTGCTATAAAGATTAAACGCTTCAAATCCTGCTTTAGTAAGAGCATCAGTTGAGTCTGATATGCTGGAATTTATTGAAGAACCTTAAACTGAAAATAACACTTTAAGTATTGAAGAGGAGCTTGATCGTGTAATTAAAGAAGCGCAATCACCGATGTAACCATTTAGGCATGAAAAACTGTTATCAAAAATTCAAAGAAATGACATTATTGGAAAATGGCGGTGATTATTTAGAAAGAGTTTGTTCATTTCTAATGACGGTGAAAACGACAAGTGTCGAGGCTGAGCGGGCGTTTTCTTCCGCTGGACTGTTTAATAATAAAGTTCGTAACAGTTTGGGCGATGAAAAATTGGACGCGTTGTGCTTCCTGAAGTCACATTTCAAAGTATACAAAGCATAATATATTTCCTTATTTTTAATTTCTTAACATTAATTAACATGTTTTTCTTGTGTGCATGTAACGATGTAATGCAAACAGCATCATTTATAAAATATGTTTTTGTTTAAGAATGTACTGTTTTTATTCTACTTAATACTATATAAATGCTGTATCTGTTTCTCAATCCCGAAAAAAAGATGCTTATATAACATCATTGATAATTTTTCTTTCTAAAATATTTGACAAACTACAAATAATTTTACTTTGAATTTAAAAGGAAAAATAATAATATGAGACAAAGATATCACTCCTTTCAAAACACTATCTGATGCTTTTTTTTTAAGAGGTACTTTCATGGAATAAGAGTTAAAATTTATAATAATATCTTTTATTATAAATTTTATAAACTGATTTTCACGAAAAAAATAGAATTTAGTTAAAACTGAACTCCACAAAATAGTACGAGGTAACGAATGGTCCAACTTAACCAGGGTACATCTAAAGCGAATGATTCTATAATAAGTTGATAGAAAAAGTTCAATAGAAATTGAAATTCCGCCCGATTTAGATTTAGTCCGACTTACCCAGGGTCCGAGTTAACGGGGTTCTACCGTAATTCTAATAAGTGCTTGATTGATGAGTTACTTTAGCACGAATTCGGAATTTTTGAATGTTTAAATTTTGAAATATTTAATGTTTAATTTTGAAGTATATGATGTATACATATTAACTATTATTGCTGTTTAATTAATTGAGCTAAATTGGAAGAGCCGCAGTGGAGTGTACTTACATCAACTAGGGGTTTATGTTTAGCTAGGCAATCTTTTCAAAACAAAGGCTTTCTAGATTTAAAGCTAAAAAAAAAATGTTGTATCTCAAAATTGGATACCCCTCACCCTTATAAAAAGCTATCACAAAATCTCTTTTCTCCATCTCTCTTCCCCATCTCTCTTGCCCATCTCCTCTTATTGCTTAACGTAATTTGTGGACGACCAAAATTCTAAAACTCTAAAACTGGGAGAAAACAAAAATTTAAGTAATAAAATTATTAAATTTAAAAAAGTTAAAGGTGCATCAATGACTTGAATATTATGTGAAATATAGAAGTTATAATATTGATTAGAAGTCTAAAACAAAAATCGGAGTTGACTTTAAAAAATTGAATAAACTGAATTTAGAGTAGGAAAACTTAGACAAGTTTATCGGGTTTTCAAGTTGTTCGATAAATTGATTATTTAAACAACAATATCAAATTTCGGCGGATGATAGTGTGCGCAGGCTTGATCCCCAAATCCTTGTTGATAATTGTTTTCGCACCATTTTTTATTTGAAGGATTATACTTTTGATATTTTGGCATTATTACAGGATCAAATGCAAAGATAGGAGCACTGTATGTTTGCATAACACATTCGCAAGGAACCGTATCCTTCCATGATGTTGACCAATCTACATCCCAAGATTTTTTATATCCTAGTGAATAAGGAAATTCAAATTGATTATTATTATTAAACCCTTTGCACGACATTGTTTTTGGTAGACCAGTGTTAAATGGAGTATTAAAGTATTTCGTAAACCATCTAAAAGCTTTAATTCGACGGTTCTCTCCTCCACCGCCTGGAACATCAGGATCCTCGCCGCTACAATCAAAGTTTATTACCAATGAAGTTGGACCAAACACACTCCCTATATAAAAACAAAAAATTAACTTTTTATTATTATAGTTATAATTATTAATTTTTTTTTTTTTTAATTATTGATTGGAAAAATAGAAAACAGAAAAAATGGTAATGAAGTAGATAAAAACCCTACATGTTAAAAACAACAAAATTTTAAAAAGCTATTTAACATATTTGACTGCAGAGCTAAACTAATTAACTTCATCAAACGGAAAGTTGTTAGTGCTCGGTAAAGTTAAAATATTACAGCATCCGTATAATGTATTAATGACCACGACATTTTTCCATTAAATGATCAAATCTCTAAATAATGACGAGACGGAAAAAAAAAATTAAAATGATAGAAATTTTAAAATTTTTGTGGCGAAAAAACCCAGAACAAAGATTCTTTTTCTTTTAAATCTCCTAAAAATCGCAATTGCTTGTCTAGAATTGAATAAAGGTTTTAAGTAAATACGTTGTTTAGGTGAAATAAACATCATAGTTTAATAGTATGATTTGTTTTGATAGTTTATTGAAATGTTTTGTTGGTTTAAAAGCTCTTTCTTGTTCGGAATTCTTAAATTTTTTGTGAAAATTGATATTTTCAATTCAATATTTCAATTCAATATATTCTGAAATAAGTTGTAAAATTTCAAGGACTTTTACAAATAGTACAAGTACTAATCTAAAGTAAAAACCTGCAACATTACAATAAAAGTGATCATAATAACAATAATAATAGTATTGATAATAATTATAGAAATAATATTAACAATAATAATAAGATGACGATGAAGAGGAATAATCAATATTAGATAATAGCAATAATAGTGGTAATAACAATTACATAGTATAAGTAGTAAATAAACTTAAGAAAAAATTAAAAAAGCAATAATAATACTTATTATGTTATAAATAAAAATAACAATTTACTAATAAAGATAGAAGAATATTATTAATATCAATACTAATAAATAAACAATAAAAATATGAGAACAAAAAGTTAATAATAAAACTAGTAGGTATCAAGAAAGTAGTAATAATAAAAGCATAACAACATATTTCAGAGTCTTCAGGTATAATATCTTGCTAAAAAATAGTTAAAAAGACAGTTTTTGAAATTAGTAATAGAGTCAATTGATTTTAATGGTGAAGGTAGACTGTTCCATGATTTTACACTTTGGTATTTTATGGACTTTAGACCATATTTTACAGAAGAATGATTTGGTACATGAAGATTATAGCTATTAGCAGATCGTAGATGATAGCGACAGCTTTCTCTAACAGTAAAAAAATTTGTAAATGTGCTGGGTAGACATTTTTGTTTATAATTAAAGACAAAATGGCAATTTAATAGTTGAACTAGATCATTAATTTTGAGTGTTTTGGATAAAAAATAAAGATGATCGGAGATTGATAATGCTGAAAATATGTTATTTTTAATGCTTTGTTTTGTAAGTTGGATAATCTTAAAATTTCTTGGGTGCGGATTTGTCCCCAAACTTGACACGCATACCTAAGATGTGATCCAAAAATGGCATGGTATATATTGATAAGAGTTTCAAGATTGACAAAGTGACAAATTTTAGCTAACATCCCATTTGATCTACATAGTTTTATTGACAAGTCCTTAAGATGTTGAGAAAAAGTTAAATTTGAGTCAATCTTGATTCCAAGTTACTTTAGGTACATAACTGGATTGATTTTTTGACCACTCAGCCTAAAATTTAGGTGTTTACTGATTTTAGATTGTTTTGATTTAAAGATGATAATTTCAGTTTTACTAGTATTCAGAGACAGTTTCTTAGATCGAAGCCATTGAATTAGATTAGATAGATCATGATTTTAGATAGATCATGATTTTAGATAGATCATGATATAAATATTGTATTTTAACAATTATATCTAACTAATTTTTTTTTCGTTCTTTTATAAAAGATAATATATTAATATAAAAAATAGACTTCTACGAGTCCCAGCATCCAACTTTATTGATAATTCAAAATTAATTCTTTCAGCAAGCTCACATTTGAATAAAACTAGTGTCAATTCGTTGTTGATCACAGGTAATTTTTGATCTGTAGTCTACTGAAATTACTCTCATCATAAGCAGATGTAATAGGAAGAGTCAAGTCGATTTTGTCGAGTATAGATAAGTTAGGAAAACAAGATGTCTTCTATTTTTCTATTAAAAATGGATGTACGTTTTTCATTTGTAGTTCAGTCGTCATTGGTGAAGATATTGAGGCATACACATCTTTGAAAGTAAAGTTGGCACGAGTAGGTTTTAAGTGAGGAGGGGATTTTTAACACATAAAAACAAATATAAATTGCTCAACACGGTTGAAATCAGTTAATTTATAATTTTTTGTTTTTTTCTTTAAAAAAAAAGTTGTTTACTTTTTCCAAAGTCATTGTAGGTTTATAAACATCTGTAACAGATGTTTCAGAAGTTGATAAACCAAACTATGTTAAAAATCAAGAGTGCGTACATTATCGTTATAAGAGATATTTTCTTTAAACCAAACGACTCCGTTTTGTTTTCTGCCATATATGCCGGCAAATTTGTAAGCAGGTATGTAAACAATGATTTGTTGTTACCTAGTTTACTATTTCTGTTTAAAATAAACGCAGCATTTTGTAATAATAAATTTATATTTTAGGGGCGCGTTTGTTGACCGGCTTAGGGAACGTGGGGTGGGGCAGCTTGTCCCTTTTGTAGTTTATTTAAAAATAGATGAGTTAATAATATAGTTTAAATTAAATATGTTTATTTAGAAAACTTCTTGCTTTATATAATTTTTCTGTGTTTTTTGATACTTTACGACTCAAATTTCTTATGTGATCACTCAGATTTTCATCAATATAAATACCAAGGAAGTTGGTAAGAAAATTGGTAACTGTTACTTTTTTTAAAAATTATATTATTAATAAAAAGAGGTAACATCTTATGTGGTATAAAATATTTTTTGTGGTTAAGATGGAAAAAAGTCTATTTATTTTTGTCTAAAACCAATCAGAAACTCTTACTAGTTCATTACTTTATTCATATTATGAGATAGTAATGTAATATTATTTGTGAGATAAGAATAAGTTCGAGTCGTCTGCAAATATAATTGTCATTAACTTAGAAACTTTATGAAGATTGTTGATTTAAACAAAAAAAACAAGAGGACCTAATGTTGATTCCTGAGTAATACACAGTTTATATAAAGCAAGTGTACTGAGGATACTACATCAATGGTTTGGAATGGGAACACCATGTAAATAAAGCAGTAAATAAAACAAATCAAAAGCTAGGTTAGATCAAACACACTTTTAAATATTTAGACGAAAAAACCATGAAACTCTTGTTTATAGCCTTAGTACGTCCACATTTGGAATACGCAGCTCCTATCTGGAATCCTTATCGTCAGTATGATAAAGATAAACTAGAGTGTGTCCAACAAAGACCTTCTAGAATTAAAATTTTGAAAGGATACAGTTATGAAGAAAGGTTAAAGAAATTGGATTTACTATCGTTGGATAACAGAAGAAGAAGGGGTGATTTGATACAAATGTTCAAATATTTGAAAGGGTATGATATTATAAATTTTTACACAAAACCCGAAATGTTAGATAACATATATAAAAATAGAGGTCACAATAGTAAACTGAGAAGGCAATATACAGGAAATATAAAACAACATAATTTTTTCACAAATAGAGTAGTAAACGACTGGAACAATCTTGAACAAGAAACAATAGACGCAGTCAGCATCAACCAGTTTAAAAAAAAATTGGATGAACATTTTAAATGCTAACTTTTATTATGTTTGTATTTTAGTGTGTTACAGCTGTTAAAGTTACAAACTCTACTAGTTTGGACTCATCACTCTTTAAGTGTACAGCAATATTATATTATATTATAAAATAGATATATGTCCTACTTCAATTTAGGAATCTTTACTTTTTTTTTTGCACGAAGAAGACAGACTTATCTTAATACCGAGTCCCGGAGCACGAAGAAGACAGACTTATCTTAATACCGAGTCCCGGAGCACGAAGAAGACAGACTTATCTTAATACCGAGTCCCGGAGCACGAAGAAGACAGACTTATCTTAATACCGAGCCTCATTACATTATTTTTTTCAAACGTTTTTAAAAAGTTACATTAATAAATAAGTAACAAAATAAAACAGTATAAGTACCTACAAAACTTTAGCAATAAAATAAAGTTTTACTAACAATCAGCGGAAAAATTAAAAAAAAAAAGATAATACAAAAGTGAGATAATCGTAAAGGTTATCAATTGGTAAAAAATTAGATTTTAATTTTATTAAAAATAATGCAATATAAATAAGTATTTAGGGCTGATTAATTTTTAGTTTGTTAGGAAAAATTCCTTGTCTGATAGAATAAGAAAAAATCTTAAAAAGTATATCTTTTATTGCTTCAAATAATTTAGTAACAATATTTACATTGATACCATCCGCACCAACTGATTTATTTGGTTTTAGCATTTTAAAGACGCATTCAAACTCTTTATAGGTTAGTTCAAATATATTAAACTGTAACGTATTAGGAATTATTACATTATCTAACGGATTAAATGCTTGAGGAATTTCTTTGGATAAATTTTGTCCAACAAAAAAAAAATTCTTGTTCATTCCCTGAGCTATCTTAACTGGATCATTCAAAAATTTATAATTGTTTTGAATGGTTTTAGGCAATGTGAATGTTTTCATTTTGAAACTATACCAGATGTACTGTATGTAATATGTACCAGAACAGATTAGATCTAGGATCTATTGTGGGTTAACGTACTTTTTGAAAAGATTTTTATTAAAATTAAGTTAACGCTCTAGTAAACGCTGATCTAAAGACTCAAAAATGGTTTTCTTTAGATTCACTGTTAGTGAAAAAGTATCTTAAATTGTAAAAAAAGAGAAAAATTGTAAATTATCTTAAATTGTAAAAGTATCTTAAATTGTAAAAGTATCTTAAATTGTAAAAAAATCTAACGCTCTTTTTTGGACATAATA